GTAATAATTCACATTTCAGGGATGTTCCTGAGGGAAAGACAACAATTCACACTGCACTCATGTTTCTGAGGGAAATGCAATAATTCCCATTGCAGGGATGTTTCTGAATGAAATACAATAATTCCCATTGCAGGGATATTTCTGAATGAAAAGCAGTAATTCCCATTTCAGGGATGTTCCTGAGGGAAAGGCAATAATTCCCATTGCAGGGGTATTTCTGAATGAAACACAATAATTCCCATTGCAGGGATGTTCCTGAGGGAAATGCAATAATTCCCATTGCAGTGATCTTCCTGAGGGAAAAGTAATAATTCCCATTGCAGGGATGTTTCTGAATGAAAAGCAGTAATTCCCATTTCAGGGATGTTTCTGTGCTTTACTACACACAGGTGCTAACACAGAATTAATAACTCTGGTCCCTGCTGTCCTGTGAATGAACTTTGCCATCATAAGCACCAGAAAAAGTTCCTGAACTGACCCCACTGCTTCCTCCTGGCTCAGTGCTGACTCAAAGGAGAAATATTCAATTACAGGATCTGAAAAAGTCACAGCTTCATTTGTTTCCCCATCCAATACTCTAAATGTAAATTTAAAATCCATTTTATTTCAGTGCTCACGTTTGAGATACAAACCCAGCAGAAACTAAAGGTTAATGCAGGGCTCTAGTATCAATAAAGCTGACAAGAAACAGGGATTGCAGCACTGAATAACCCAGAATTAGCACCAATTTCATTCCAACAGCCAGCCTGCCTGGTTCAGCTGTACTCACCAATTCCATGCACTTCTACTGAATGAAAAGTTATTCATAACTTGCTTTAAGATCTTCATGTTTTCTTTCCAGGGCTCAGGCAAATGCAACAGCTCCAAATAAAATAAAAGGCTGAGGCTTTTATCACTTATTAATAACTGCAACCTCAGAGAAATTCATTTTTCCCTTAAAAAATGTTTTTTTCTTCTACTGAAGATTTCAATCAGTTCCAATAAAAAGTTGGGAGGCTTTACAAAAAATCCTGTGGAAAACTTTTACTCCAGATCCTCGAGGCAAGGTTTCATAAAGAAAATCCCATTGGAAGAAAAATCAACAGGGATTTGATTTCCCTTTCTCTCAAGAGCACAAGCCCCTGATCCTTTTCTTCACTGATTGTTCATTCCATTCATCAGCTCATCAAAAAGCAGATTTGCAAGTTCTAGAGCTGCTGGTTGTATTGAAGAGACACCAAACCTTTCTTAATTTCAGCCTGCACATAAAAACTATGATTTCTGTTAAAAATAATCTCTCCAGTGAGGAGAATTTAACAAAATTACCCACAGCAGAGGGAAAAAACACACCAACAAGGTTTTGCTTGTTTTTAAAACCCACAAAACCTCGTGTGCAGCAAATTTCCAATTTTCAAACAAATTTTGTTTTTGCTTTTTCAAACAAATCCTTGACTGGGGCAGCTCTGCTCCCAGCCCAAGGTTTCCCTGGCAGGATCCTGGGCCTGGTTTTATGTCCCAGGGCTGGGCCAGCCCCTGGGAGGAGCAAATTCCCACTCAGGGGCGGAACACGAGCTGGGCTGGCCTGCAGGCCCAGGGCTCCTCAGCACAGGGAGAACCAGGAAGCTCTGAGCTGCCAAGGGCTGGATTTCCCAGGAAAGGCTTGGGTATCACCAGGAAGGTCACAGTCTAGTGAGGCAGAGATTTGGGCAAATAAATATTGACAGCAATGACTTACTGTTAACTGGAAGAGCAATTAAAGAAA